ACAGTGAATTCATTCAAATGTCAAGTCAAATTAAACAAATAGCACACTTATGAGGGGACTTTGAAGAAAAGAGAGAGAGATAAATTAAATCAAAATTTATCAAATGACGTCAGTTCAATGCATTCAGCTCACTGGTCAATAAAAAATAAATAAATAGAAAATAAAAATTGAAAATGAAGGTACCATATCTGGCCCAAGTCTGGGCAGCATCTGGCAAAATGTGGCATAAATGCCAGACTTTGCCAGACTTGGCCCAGATCTGGCAAGTGTCTGGCAAAATGTGGCATAAATGCCAGACTTTGCCAGACTTGGCCCAGATCTGGCAAGTGTCTGGCAAAATCTGGCCCAGATATTGCCAGACGTTGCCAGATCTGGGCCAGACGTGGGCCAGATTACTGAGGCTGTCTGGGTGTAGTATAAATACCATATATACCGAAGTATTGGTTAAATTCCTTCATTATTAAATTTTAAAATCCTTGAGTATCTAAGACAAGTTACTTCCATCTTATTTCTTGCTGTAGCTGTACCTCTTTGTGTACCTTGTTTTCTCTTTCAGAGATGCCGCATGAATGAAGACACTGGAGCAGATTACTTGACTCCATGGCAGATAGGTAAAACAATAGAAGGCCTGCTTGGAATGGGTGTTGTGGTTTGGTCAGCAGATGATTCTTTTACTGAGGGAGACCTTGTGGAAGGAGATTTAGGCTGGCCTTGGAAGCAGTATTTCATCTATGATAACAACTCTCAAAGAAAATGGATTAGAAAGGTATAATTCTTTCCTATAATTTCCATGAACTGAGTGATAGATGAGCAAGCCTATAGCTACATACCCTATTTCCAAGATTCAAGTTAGAAATTCTAATTATTGAAGTTTTGGTCTTTCAAAATGTAAATTAATTGTTTAAGCCTGACTAGTTTTTCTAAGATTCAGATACATAAAGATGTCAACTTTATTGATATTTTGACTTTAATATTATTCTGCTTTTCAGGGTGACAGAAATTTAGTTGGGGACAGACTTTCTCTGTATCTCAGTTGTTTTGGTTTGGTGGGTCTGACAGCTCTGCTTGGAGTCAGGGAGAAGGGTCATGTGACACCAGGAACCAATCAGACTTGTGTAATAAGTGGAGCAGCTGGTGCCTGTGGAACACTGGCAGGACAGGTACTCACTGAACAGTGCACTGCTAAAGCTTCAGTGATTCAATTTACCCTCACATATTACATTAACCTTTAAGAAACAGACCTGGTAATACCTGTACGGTATACAATGAACACGATGGGTTAAGTTAAAGTCGTAAGACAGTGTATTTTATAAATCTCCCTAAACCTTACCAGTGCAAGCTATTTTACATATACAATTTAATTTACGAACATCTTTGGTGGACAGGCTTTAGATCCCCTCTTTTATACGTGCATGCACGCATGCACACACACACACACACACACACACAGAATGATTCAAATATAGGTTCAGAACCATAAAATGTACGATGTCTGATACTTGTTACAGTGTACTAGTTCATGTATATTTTAATAAAATTTCAGATAGCCAGACTTGATGGCTGCAGCAAAATAGTAGGAATCTGTGGCACCAATGAAAAATGCAACTTTTTGACTACAGAGTTGGGATTTGATCATGCTGTTAATTACAAGACAGAAAACGTTTCTAGTAGGCTAGAAGAATGTTGCTCAGGTGGAATAGATATTTATTTTGACAATGTAGGAGGAGAAATGTCAAATACAGTCATAAGACAGGTAAGAAAAGATGGCAACTGTAATTTCCTTCGTGATGTTGTGTGATGTCAAGGAATTGTTATGACCACAAGGTCTGTAAATTCTTCTGTTTTTAGTTTGAGTCAGTTGGTGCTAAAGATAAACTTCTGACTTAATTATAATTATTTGGAAAAAAGTAGTGGGCAGAATTACAGCGTATGTAGTACAACCTAATTTACAGTGTTTTTTATAATATCAGTAATAGTTTTCTGCACAGTGTTTGAATTTGACATGGTTTTCATTTCAGATGAATCCAAATTCTCATGTTATACTGTGTGGGCAGATTTCTGTGTACAATAAAGATGTACCGTACCCCCCTCCACTTCCTGAGGATATTGAACAGTTACTAAAAACTAAAAACATAACAAGGTAATGTCAATATGAAGCATTAACAAAGTACATGTCAGCTAACATTTTGACATTAATTGATGAAATAACTGTTTTATAGTAATATGGTACAACATACAACATTTTTTAAACAAGACATTAAGAAATGCACTTCTTGAATAAGTTTCAATTAAGATAATGACAAACTTTTTATTCTATACTTATACTATACAGTATGTTTCTCAGATAAATTTTTCTACTTTTTTTCTTTTGCATTTCCAGAGACAGATTTCTTGTCCTCAATTATCCTGAAAAATTTGAAGCTGCCATTGTGCAATTGGTAGAATGGTACATGTCAGGAAAACTAAAGGTAAAGTTGCCATTTAGGTAAAAACATTAAACTTTATATACCTTACTAAGATGAGGGGACAACTCTGACCTGCCTTGCTCCAGCAATGGCACAGCTTTAAGAAAACTCTCTATCATTTATGGTGGCAGAATTTGCCGTATATTTGCCGTATATTTACCATGTTGCAATGTGGCCAATAATCTTTTGTCAAATAAAATAACATGTGTTGAGCCTGCATTTGTGTACTAGTTTAGTTGATCTCAACTTGAAAATATTGCACCATTGTACTTAAAATATTGAGTGAAATCTTAAATACTGCATTCATGTATTGCATACTTATGCATTCTATGTTTTGCAGGTGAAGGAAACAGTTACAGAAGGACTGGAGAATGCAGGAAGGGCATTTGTCTCTATGATGAATGGAGGAAATATCGGAAAGCAGATAGTGCACGTCTCTGATATATAGTGCTAACATACTATCAGGAATTTATTATTCACATACCATGTCAGTATTGTCTTTACATCAGGATGAAAATTACTGAAAATGTAAATAATAATAGCAGGCAGAATACACATGACTGACAAAGGGTGATAACAATTTACCAGGAATATAGTGAACATATATCATGGTGCTTCTTATGTGAAATTTCAGAGTATTTAAATCTTGTGGTGGAAGTGCAGCTGACAAAATCAGGACACATCTAGTCAAACTGTTCAAAACGCAAGGTCTTTTTATAACTGTAACTACTAACATTAGAAAAGTTAGTTAATTTTCTAGATGCAAACCTAGACTTAGAATCTGAGACATGCAAGCCATTTCTGAATGCAGAACAGAGCTATATGAGTAAGAACTTGAAGCAGCCCCCTGCAGTAATACCAAATATACCCAGGGCCATCGGAGAAAGATTGCAGCTCTATGATCAAGTTGGACAAATTGCAGGATCTGTATGTGCACAAAAATTCATTAGAAGCAGCGGGGTACAACAGAAGGAAAGTGACCAATGAGTTTAAACCAAGCAATTTTAGCTCCAGTGAAAAGAGAAGACATAACAGAAGATTGAATTGGTTTAATTCGCCTTTCTCAAAAAATGTTAAAACACAAGTCGTATCTTTCTCCAGTTTTTAGAAAAACATTTCCCTTGTGGAAGCAGACTCAGATCAACATTAAAGGTTACTTCCAGTAGCATGAAGAACATACAGCAAATAATCCAGGGCCATAATAAGAAAATATTCAAATAAGTGACAGTAAATATGCAAGAGAAAAACTATGGGTATGTACGTGAAACTCGTAGTTGAGGTTTCGGCATGCCTCGGGGTTATTTAAAAAAAAAAAAAATTAAAAAAAAAAAAATATATATATATATATATATATATATATATATATATATATATATATATATATATATATATATATATGATTTTCATAAATTGGAAGATCAAGTAAGTTTGTTTATTTTAGATGAGGTGCTCAAAATCTATTATAATAAGTCATTGTAGGTTATGGATGGAATATGATATTCCTTTTTGGCTTTTTCTCTTTCATTTTGTTATGAAATGTTCAAAATGATTATTGCATACTGTACAAAGCATTTAAGTATAATGTAAAGTAAAATATGTCTACTATTTGCATGGATACAATCAGCATTATGTTAAGTTGTCATCAATGATTTTGTACTGCTTTGTTAATTTTTTTCCTAATCTTTGATTACCACAATGTATAAAACATAATTTAATAATCTATTTTTTTTAAACAGAGGCATAGGGGACAGGTTATTACAACATAAGTGTTTGATCAAACTATCAATACCCCCTAGCACTGAATGTCAACTGTATCTTGTACACTTTGTCCAAAATGGTATCCAAATGCCTTTAATTATTTTGATTGTGGATAACTTTTACCATCTCTAATCACTACAATCTTTGATGTGATTTTTAAGAATTTGCTATGATATTTGCTGTTGTTATTTTTATATTGTAAGAAAATACAGAATGATAATAATATTTACCAAAACAAATGTTGTTTGTATCATGTCATCTTTACATGTTGCTTATAAGTATATTCTTAGATTCTTACTTTAGATAAAGTGAAAAACGATATTTTTAAAAAGAAAGCAATGCAAGATGTAATTTATCATTTTATTGCAATTTCAAAGATTCAAGAAGTGATGTATTTGGGGGTTAATTTTACATAACACACTCAAAGTCTACTGTACAGGCTTATTTTTGTTTTCAGACTATTCACTTGTCCTAGAGTAAATTTGCCTTATCTATTTACAATGTTACTTTATAAGACAAGGGTGACTAATAAATTAAAGCTCAATTCATTAAAAATAAAGGCAACATTTACAGCAGCCACTGAAGCAATGCTTCTCAATTCTTATCAGGAATTATATTGTATGTTCTTATGCAGTTTGAATTATATCTTAAACAAAATATACAACTTAAAATAAAAGGACATCATCTTAAAAAGCATATATGTGGTAGAGATATGCAATGTTCAGACCTCCATTTGCAGTAAGTCCCATAGTCATTTCTTTGGTCTGAACTTTAATATGGTCTTTCCATATTAGCCTTTCACCTTGAACACCATATCCGATTTAAAGAAAAAATACATATATATCCAAAACACACTTTTTAAATAATGGCTTCAAGTCAATTAGAACAGTTAAAAGTGCTCACAGTATATTGAAGAATAGTGTGATGGACACTACCTTTCAATTATGTAACTCTGACAAAACGCCAATGTTAGTTGTCTTGAAGCACAAATATATTATGTATAGTTGCCCAAAACAATCCTCAAACTTTCCCCTTTCTCAGCAGCTCTTGTTGAAATTTTGCAACCATTTTGTCAAAATATCTTGTTAAAAATTTGTGCAACTGCAAACCTCATGATACATTATTTTGCAAAGTTGTGTTATCAACCATAAGATTCACACACAATGCAAAAAAAAAAAACTGAATTACTTTTTGTCATTGCATAAATCTTTTCAGCATATAACAAGGAGGCATGACCCCTCTTGAATGGTCACTGTATCTCAAGAAGTCTTTTTTTTCCCTCTTATTTTTAGATCCATTGGTTCAGGTACTTAACCTGTCCACATTGCTTAACCAGATACTTATTTCTACAGCATGGTGTCACTGATTTCTGTAAGTGAACTACTATATATCTTCTATCATAACTTCACTATGCCATTGTTATCAGCTTTGTCAATCAGTGCACATAGGATTGGAGACTCTACCTGTAAGTGAAAAAGAAACACCTTAACAGTCGGTTTATATTTTTAACAAAAACTTAGAACCATTTGAGAATTTCATATTGAAATATTTTTTAAGATTCAACACCAAAATTTACACTTTTTCACACAAAAAGCATAACATGATGATTCATTAGGCATATCGATATCATCTTTTTCATTTGAAGTAACCAGATTATTACTTACCACTAAAATGTAGACACAAGATTCTGGTTCAACAAGATACAGTGATACTGCATGCGAGCTATCAGCATTTTCCTTACATCTGGATAAAAAAATAAAGATAAGAAAAATTAAACAAAACATCATCACTTCACTTGTTGTTATAAGCTCTGTGTATGCCTAAGTTCTTTTTTTTATTATTGTGCACTTTGTACTAAATGTTTATTTTGCCACGCCATAACAGGTAATATATCACTACTACTATATCTGTCTTTTCAAATATAACAAAAGAAGACTGATACTGGAATTGACATACTTTATTCTGACTTCTGCATGCCTTGGCTTTCCAGATATATCACAGTAATCACCAGCACCATAAAAATGGCTGATAAACCTGTAAAGAAGATAAAACATTAGGCAAATCAAGTTACTCAATGTTTAATGTGCTTTGTACTATATCTTTAACAACCGGTTATGTATTAAGAATGGCCATCAGTGCAGATAACATGTAGTTTACTTTTGAAATTTATAAGGGCAATTAGAGACGTTCCACAAATGTGTTTACATACTTCCTTTCTTTTATTGGTTTTGGTCTCTTAGAAGGATTCTCCCCAAGCCACTGCAGATGTCTTCCTTCACTCCACACCCCAAGTGTTATCACAGTTTTTGAACCACCTTCCTAAAAACAGGTAGATAGAAACGGTTGAGGTGTAAAAACTTGCAAGTTTTCTCTCTCAATTCTGAGTTATTGTGATTCAGTAGTTTATCTATAATCATGAATTTCACTTTAACTTGAAATTTATATTACAGTATATCAGTCTTGAAAGCATATATATGATAAATATTTCAACTTTATAAACTAACAAGTAATTTGAACAATAATCATGTGTAAAAATAAATGAAAAATGTCTTTGAGAAAAACAAGAAAATAAGCAGCCATTCAAAATAATGTCAAAGTCAGAATGACATTATCCAAGTAACAATACTTCATACTCACTTCATGGAACTGAATTATATGTTTTCCATAGCAAAATTCATGTTTCCACCACCCCAGTCCCTATAAAGGAAAATATTCGTGTTACAAAGGATTGTGAGAGTTGATGAGCCTAGAATGGAGAATACTGTTACTTTTTCAGTCCTTGAATTTTATTTTAATGAGTCACCTATCTCACCTATCCGCATCACCTATCTCATAATTGCTCAATAATGCAAATGATCAGAAATATTTTTTACAAATCATTATTTGTTCATCAACAAGAGTCTTACAATTGCCATGCTATCCACAGTCTTGTAGACTATTGCCCCAGAGTTTGGTAGAGTGGGCAGAGCAATATGTATTGTTATAATTAGGCAATTCTACCCTGACCATCCCAGCAACAAATATTTGAAGAGAAAAACTGAACAGCAACTCTCCCTTAAGCTCAAACAAACCTTTAACAAAATATAAAATTCCTGAGCTGAGAATCTTACCCCTTGGATGCAATATTCCCCTTTTAAAAAGTCGTTCAACAATTGCTGGTCTGTGCTGGACTTGAGATCTGTGCCATGAGAACCCTTGCTGGGATCCCACGATGGCTGCTGTACAGTTTCCTGCTGGGGTCTCTGAATAACTGGATGCACCTCTTGTGTCTAAATATAAATTTGCATGTTAATATCTTTTCTAATTCAAAAGCATGAAGTAATTTTTCTTCAGTCGACTGTTTAATATTGAAATAGTTACCTCTAATATTTGGATGTCTAACAGAACATCTTCATCAGGGAATGAGGCTATTCAGGTGAACAGCCTCTATTGGAGGTAACTATTTCAATATTTGAGCTGTTGACTGAAGAAAAATTACTTCATTCTAATAACATAACACAGTCGATGAAATACTTCTCCAATTCAAGAGCAGGTTTTAAAATATAAACATTTTTGTTTTGTAATATCTAATAAGGTCTTCTGGTCAGGTGGTGATTAAGGAGTGACCTGGTCAAGCTGTAAACGGGTTGATGAACCCAAATTGCACGAGGTGGTATGTTACATGTATAAAGAAATGGCATTTATTTCACTTGAAAAAGTATTCCATAAACCATACTGCTCAACTTTAAGAATTTCATAACTGCTTCCTGGCATACAATGTGACAGCACCTTTCCAGTAGGTATAATCGAAAAGCTGTTTCAGCACAAACCATCTGGCTAGATCTTACCTGTTTTCTATTATATCTCCCCTGAGTATTTTCTAGTTCAAGTAAATCTAGACTTTTTGGTCTTCTAGGAGAGCCATCTAAAGGCTCACAGCGTATTCCTTGCACAGGCTGGTCTGCTGTTCTAAAATAAAACAATATAACAACAGTTTTTATGATGATGATGATCATACGTCACTTCATTGACAAGACTTACATAGTGTAAAGATCAATTTCCAATCTTCCCCGCTCCATAAAACATCAACTGTACAAAACAATGCTTTATGACAGAATTATGATTTTATTAATTCATTTTTACATATTTAAAAATATGTAAAAAAAAAAAATATATATATATATATATATATATATATATATATATATATATATATATATATATATATATATATATATATATATAGGCATTGTTATATAGATATAGTTCTCACTCTTTTATTTTCATGTTTAAATTTTTGGTCAAAGTGACAATTAATTAAATTCTATCATACACTTCAAAGGTAAACCAAATAGTTTTGCTGTTGCTCTATTATTTCAAAATCTATTATTTTCAAGATAATGAATTATCTTCTAAAACATTATGACATTATGTACTTAAGAAGAAATGCTATGTGACTTACTTATAAGCTGGATGAGAACAGAGTAGTGCTGTTAAAACGACCACCTCATATTCACAGCTAGACGTCTCCTTCAGTTCATACACCTCTCCTTTGCCATCTGGTTGACAAACATAGTGCAATCGAGCCTTTCTGTGCTCTCCCGTCAGATCACATTTAGTGCCCTCTGTGAAGTTCACTTGGTAGTAAGTCAGCTCCATATTGTCTACTTTTCGCTTTTTATGAGGCTGGAAGATGCAAATATGACAAAGTTCTTGTAAAGATAGGAATACAATGTGACACAAAGTGTTGTCAAAATCGTGACATACATAAGGTTATGAAACTGATTGCAATCTCAATCTGCAAGAAAAAAAAGCAAGTTTTTAAAAACCTGTTCTCTTTTCTAACTGATGGTATAATAAGAAACAAGTAGTGTACCTTTTGCGCATCTTCTACAGGTGGTTCTTGGTTGTTATCTTCTTTTTTGTAATATCCAAGATAATATTCTTGCAGATGCCCCTTCTACAATATAACATGATTCTTCTTAAATATGCTTTATGCAATGCATAACTTAATAATTTTTTCAAGGATTTTTTTGCAAGACATTTTTTTCACATGTTCAGTGACACAATGAAGAAATTTGTTTAATATTCTTTTTTTTAGATAAAGTTAATTTTCTTTAATACCTGTACGTTATATGCCAGTGATAACCTTACAAGCAATAACATTTGCCAGTCAATATTGTGTTCTGGTTGTACAAGTTCATATAATTACCTTGCCACTTTCTTTGACTTCATGATATTGCCTCAAATATTTTCCATGGCACAGCTCATACGTCCAATAGCTCTCAATCTAAAATATATTGGATTAAACAGAGAACAATATAGATGGTAAATGAGACATTTTTCACAAACAAAAAATAACATTAGTAAGTACTACACAATTTATGAATAAAACATAACTATCAGAAATNATCTGTGTCTGTACATAAAAATGTAATAGTTCATGGGGCCATCCTAAAATGTGCAATACAGCACAACATAGCACATAAAGTATTCACAGGAAACGGTCATTTGCAAGAAAATAGGGTGACATAGAAGCACAATATTTTACTAGGTAACAAATATTGTTGATTGTTGATACTGTTTGTTTATGGATTGTTAGTTCATCTGCCATATTGGCCACCAGAGAAGTTATAGGAAGTGTTTTTTCTTGGAAATATGGCAGATGACCTGGCATAAATAAATCATACCAATGTAATTTTCACAAAAGAAATCTTAAAGATGAACATAACTGGTAGATTTTCTTACCCTATATGAACAGCTACTTTGCTTATATAATGGACTTAACAGCTCTTCTTCACTTGGACCATTGTGATTCAGTTCTTCCTGCAAATAAACAGAATCAAACAGATGTCAGCAAATCCTTGCATAACTAAGCACGATGAAATGAATAAGATTACCATACTGTTTTTCATTCTGACAGTCTTCTGCATTGCTAAAAACCTTACATCTTAAAGCCATGAGTGTACTTTTAAATTCTACTGATCATTTCTAATTTTTTAATCCAAATTTTGAACTGTTTTTTCCCCCTCTTTTTTTCAATATCAATAACACAGAGTCCAGTACAATTTTCCACGTAACAGTGGTTCTTTATTTTCAACTTCCTTACACATCTACACCATTAGCCTTAACACTTACACACATAGCACTTTTTTACCTGTGAACGAGATCCTGAGGATTGAGGCTTTGGGAAAATGCATCTATATTTTTCCTTGTTGTTTGTGGTAAGCAATAAACTATCTTCATCCTAGAAAATAATCAGCATCCATACATAATTTGTTCATATACATTAAAACATACATTATACATTAAAAGGCATTGATTCTCATCAAATACACATAGTAGATAATGAAAATGTTTAGACTACTTTTCTTCTTCCCCCCCCCCCCCCTTAAATGCACAATACAGCAAAAACAACTCTGCTTGCAAGCAAACATAGGAAAAGGTCATTCCCAAGAAAATAGGGTGATATAAAAGTGAAATATTTGATTAGGAATGAACATGTTGATAAAAAATAACAAATCAGTATGATATGTGGTACAATTTGTTTATCTTAGGATAATATTTCTAAGAAGAGCTACTAAGAAAAGCTACTAGCATATACATGTAGCTCTTCATGAGTGGCCATCATGGCAGATGATCTGACGATAAACAAAAACAAATTGGACATTTTTTTATTTGGATGAACGATATTAATAACCTCATATAAACGTTGCTTTTATTTCACCCTATTTTCTTGTGAACAGTTTTTCCTATGTTTATATGTCACCAAACTCGTTTTTTCTAGTATACTGCACTGTATAATGTATTGTAGTATGATCCGTTCTTCACCTGTTTTATTTTTAATTACCTTAGGAAAAGTACTATACCCAAGGTTTTTCTCAGTTAACAAAATGGAAAAACTAATTTGTTCATTTCATATAAATATCAATCTGTGATGTTTTAAATTAGCTACAAAACGATACCTATAGAACGGCAGTTAACGAAGAAATTGGGGGCCTCCATCGATTCTAACATTAACGCCAGTCATCTTACAATTAAATAATTTAAACATCTTGGTGATTTTTAGAACTCACATTTAGAAGATTGTCTTCGTCGGGAAATGATGCTGCAGGCACCCAGTTAATGGTATGTAAAACATCATCAGAAAAAGGATTAAAGTCTGTTCCCCCTGAAGTAAAAATACTGACGAAAATAACTAAGAAAACTTCCTTCTCAGGCTTCATGATGTTTTTCTTACACACGAAACTGTCACGACATCGTGGAGATTACCCATTTGCTGTTCAACAGGTCAAGGTCAGCGCCACATCAATAAGAGTCCCGCATCGATACAAGGTATTTAAAAAAATATAGATTATAAACTTATCGAATAGATTATTTTGCTCAGTATTTTATAGAATTTCTATATTATTTTACTGATTGTTATATAAGCATTTCAATTCATTTTGTCTTCTTAAACTTGTGAATTTTACACCTGTCACTCCCGTTTCTGCGAGACAACATTAAGGATGGCGAATAATTTAGAAGGGCTAGTGCTGGTGTTGTCGCTTTTTTGGGCATGTGTAATTGCAGTAGAGCAAGGAAGATGGCAATTTTCGCTGAATCAGGTACATTTCTCAAATGTTTTTGATGGCATCATATGTTAATAGGAAGGATAGATGTCTGTTCTTATTTCAGTGGGATATGTGACGTGGAATTATTTTTATTTTCACAGTTGTAACCTTATATCTTACTGATTTGATATTTTATATGACATTTCGTCTGAAAGAAGTACTTTAAGTGTTTATTATATAGTCTGTGCTGGATGTAAATTGTCCATTTATTTACTTTTTCCTTCTTGTTACGTCCTCATTGAATCCATCTTCCACTGATAGAGGCTACATACTGTATTTATATTTTCTCTGAGAGTGAGACATACTTCAACTTAATGCGTAATACAGAGCTCAGCAGTATACTAGTATGAAAATGAGTCAAAAGTTTCTCAACTTCATTTGCAAAATACGTCACTTGGACTTTGTCATGCAATGAGTTTAGAAGCTAGTCATATATGGGAGAGGAACGTCCAAACAAGGAGTACATGCATACTAAAGTTGGTGTTTTTAGTGTATTCTGTTGAAGTGTAAGAAACTTTCCTGAAGAGTAGCTGTTTTAAAATCAAATGCAGATACTTCTCAAAACATTGTTATATAATAACAGTTAAAAGTGCTCTGCACAATCATACAATGTTACATTATTAATAGTGACATATACCTATTTTTTATCTTTTAGGACAATGCATATGCCATGGTACACAAGACCATGTATAATAACACCCCTGTATCAGTAAAAGGTAAATCAAAAGTGTTTGTAAAATAATTTAGTTTTCATTTAACATTTATGCTCCTCATTTGACAAAAGTGATATTTTGCAGTTTGATGGTGAATGTTATTTTTCTGGATATCAAATTTGAATTTTATTTGCAGTTGACTGCTCAAGTAATGTGAAGATAAGAGTACAGTGGAAGCTACGGTATCTACCATGCTATATAAGTGCAGCTGAAGGGGTATGTTTTTTTTTTATCATTAAAGTTGTATAGTTTAGACATGCCCTTATCATTTGATTTTGACATGCTTGCATTTGTCAGAAAAATGACTAAATGAAATGAGAAACTGACAGTTCGAAATCCTTATTATTTCAAAATATCATGCAATAGCAATATATGTCTTACTTCTTAACCAACCACATTTTCTATACTGGCAGACATTTACAGAATCAACTTTGTATGTAGAATGCTTCACTGCATAAAAATCACTAACATGGATTGTTTTGAAAGAACAAGTAGTAACAAAGACATTAAGAATGTAAAAAATTATCTGATATGTTCTGATGGTTGATTTAAAAATTGTAACATGAAAAATGTATATTTAAAGGATGTACCTTCATGAATAACTTCAAATTAATTTTAATCATTGATTTTCACTAATTTAGGCATACTTAATATTGGATTTTAATAGAAAAATTATTCATTGACAAGTATGATAGATTGGTTATGTCTTTTTTTTAAAGGGAGACTCACAAGAACAAAATTCTAATAATTTTTACAACATGGATCACAGTCCCCTTGTGGAGTTTGAAAACACACTAGGACAGATAAGAGTCCAAACTAGTACTGGGAATAATACTGGAGATTGTGGACAGCTAACATTAAAGGTGAGGACAATAGTGTCTTTAAGCATTGCCATCATCTGGTGCTGGAGGTATGACCATTTAACTTTTTTCTTATTGCAATAGCTAGGCAGTGATAATGTCATTTGGCTTCAAGCACATGTAGAAATCTCACTGCTCTAATATGACAGTCAAGCTCAAACATGGGTGTGATCTGATTTTCTTTTCAATAGTTTTGGCATTGTGGACACTGTATCTTCTAAATGGTCACTGTTAAGTTAAAGCTTATATCTGCCAGGGTTAATTATTGGCCTTCAATGTACATCAAGTTCAAATTGGGCACAGTCTGATTATTCTTTTTTTTTTCATTTTATTTTTATTTTTGTAATTTTTATTTCTCTATACCATATTGTTTACCTTTCTTGTTATAAAGAGTTTCATAAGATTATATTGCTCTGCTTTCAATAAAAATGAAGTGCACAATTTGTTTTTGTGACTTAACTTTTTGCATTTGATTAATGAAATATACTTTTTCCATGTATTGAATTTAACTCTAAAAACAAGGGATGGACAGAAATGAAGCACTTGTAAACCAAATGTGACTTTTAAACATTGGCTGAGATTTTTCAGTTCATTCATTTGAAAAGTTCCTTTTTATTAAGTTTTCTGATTGAACTTTTGTAGGATGAGAGTGGTGCGCCAATTAATGTGATACGATTTACCACAGTAAGTATCAGTGCACAGCCCACCATTATTATGAATTATTAAGAGGCATTATAAAGCAGGATATCATAGATAAGTGTGTGGTATTAGTTTGTATAATTTTAGGTTTTCCCAGCAGCACTACAACAGTGAATATAAGATCAAAAAAGCTCTTTTCACATGGAATCTCTTAAATTGAGAAATAGTTACAATTTGGTGTTTTACATTTGAACAGATCTTTTCTTATTCCATGATTTCTGATAATGGTGGATTTAAAGGGTGGGACACAGTCTGTTAAATGGTACAATGATTTTACATTTTTGTTTGATGAAAATTTTAATTATTTTTATTCTAGACAAATATTACTGAAAAAGCCAGTGATTCAAGTGATAAAAGTGTAGGCTCAGAAGCTGGAAAGGTAAATAAGTAATATGTGTGTCTTGAAATCTTGCCTTCTTTGTACGTCTGCTTCTTCATACACTACATGTATGTGTCAGGCCTTCATGCTGTTTGAGGTCACAGTATATAGACTTTTGCAATCTCCTTTGTGGGGATACAAGTTTTTTTTAAATCATTTATAATATTCTCATGCTTATGTGAATTAAGAGACTTATTTTGTCTACAAAATTCTAATTTGGCTATTTGATCTAACTACCTACATATACCTAATACCTACGTATATACTAATCTTCCTACCTACCAACCTTCCCCCCCCCCCCCCCCCCCCCCCCCCATCCCCCTGCCTGCCTCTTTTAGCTTTTAGGTTTGTTTCATTTACGGTTAATTATCTCTGATTACATTTCAACTTTAAAAAAAGGTTGATATGTGTTGTATTATTTTTCATCAGGCTGGTAAAGTCAAACGTCAAGCAACGCCTCCTTTAAATGTGGTAAGAATGGTCTTATTCTTCAAAATGCTTCTGCCTTTGAAGGTTGAATGATTTGTTGACTTTCTGACTGCATGTCACCAGTAAATTATTTATTTTTGACAAAAATAATCTCTAATAGAAATCTCAAATAGAAAATAAGCTTGGTTTAAGAACTGCTTCAAAGACAAAACATTTCAGTTACTCATGTATATATTTTGAATGATAAACGTTTTAAAGTTTAAGACTTAAAAGACTTATTGTCCAGCATCTGTGATGTATTTTTGACAGACCAAAACAAAAGCAGTAACGACTGCTGCAGTCACGGTAGCAGGGCCACAACCAGTAGAACAAAGTACAAAAGGTCAAACCAACAAGCCAATGCCTGCTGGTAACAAGGTATTAACTTGTTCTTTTCTAATAAATAAAGACTGTTAAATGAAGAGGTTCCAATTTAAGATTTATACAGCCATGACATAGTGGATGGCTGGTTTGATTAAAATTGATGCTGTCTCCTGTTTTGCGCCAGAAAATTGGACAGTTAGTTTGCCCATGCCTCTCAGGGTAGGAAATGTGTGCAGCCTTTAGATGGCTCTCTTCAGTCAATAAAAGTTGGAAGTTTGATGACCAAAAGCTCATTATTTGTTCATTGATGGTTGATTTTCTTGAAGGTTCTGATGTTTGTTAGTTTTTATCAATAAGAGTGGAGAACAAATGCTTATCCTTCTATTTAACTTTTTTTCTCATTAAGGAGGACACGTCATATGTGGCTCGTGCCTGGCAGGATGGTACCTATGTCTTTATGATAAAGGTGTCTTCAGAAGAAAAATTTGATGTATCAGGTAATATTTGAAGCCCATTGTTAGTTTTTGTCATCTATTTGTTGATTTACTTGTTTATATGTAAATGTGACTGTATTTTTCTGAGCATTTTGTGTTGGAAGTTTTTGAATGAGTTGTACTGAGAATTAACTGGTAATAATTGATGTCCATTGTTATTGTTTTAACTATTGGTCTGATGATATGTTGATGTAACACCTATTTTTTTTAGCATTTTGTGAGATGTTTTAATATAAACCGTACCTCGTGTCATCACACTGCTTTATTTTCAGTGGATATCAGCATTGAGAATGCACATGGTTATCTATCAGCTGTGGATTGGCCACTTATTATTGTGAGTACCTGTACATATTATTTAACTTCTATATTAGCATAGACCAAATTTGGTAATTTCATAAAAAGAAAAAGAGCCTTGTTGCTGTTTTTTAAAGAACAACGAAGATGGGATGTAAGTTAAACATTGGTGTTTTTCAGTTATTTTTCATGCTGCAGTAAAATGTGTTAATATTATTGTTCTTATTTTCCAGTTTTATGGTGTCATGTGCATCATTTATGTGTTGTATGGATTATTGTGGCTTATCATGTCATTCTGTAATTGGAAAGATTTACTGAGAATTCAGTTTTGGATTGGAGCAGTCATTTTCTTAGGTATGAATACTTTATATATAGCTATTTCACTTTATGGGCACTTATATTACAAAATCTGAGGACCTTGTGTCACCACTGAGATGCTAAATAGTATCCTGTAAAATTGATTCATGTAAAAAGCTTCATAGTACCATACAGATATGAACAGCATAAAAAGCATGTCATTCTTTCTTTTTACAGGAATGTTGGAAAAAGCTGTATTTTATGCAGAATATCAGTCCATCAACTCAACAGGAAAATCTGGTAAAAAATACTCTCAAAACTAGACTTATTTTAAAACGATGTCCAATTTTTGTGTACATTGCCTAAACAGTTTCTAATTTTTTTTCTGAAACTTCAAGTAAGTCATCACTAAACCTACCTAGAAATTAAAATTTACATAATCCTGGTGAGTGCTATATTCATTGTTACAGTAAGAGGAGCCATTATAGTAGCAGAGTTGGTGTCCTGTATGAAGAGAGCTCTGGCCAGAATGCTTGTTGTTATTGTTAGTTTAGGATTTGGAATAGTCAAGTAAGTACTTTGTAGCCGTTTTCTTTTATGTGTTGTCCTGTATACAACATTGTTTGGGTGTCATTCCCATCTTTTAAGCCATTTATTCTGATTTATTATTTAGGATATCTTTCCAAGGAACTGCTTTCACAAAATAAATAAAACCAGTAAACAGTCTTAGAAAATACTCCCCAGAATTTTACCCAAGCTGATTGCTTAGTTAATTGCTTTATAACAATAATCGCAAAGGCCTACAGCTCGTTATATATATTTACATTTACACTAAGATACATGTAGGTTGTTCCTTATTAAGCCTTTACAGGCACCATCATTTGATTTTGATGGCCTCTTTGATGTGTGTTTTTTTTTTTTTAATTCCAGGCCCCGTCTAGGTCCAATGCTGCACCGTGTACTTGGTATGGGAGCCCTTTACTTTATTCTTGGATCAGTGGAAGGGTGCTTGAGAGTACTCAATGTGAGTATATGCTCTATGTAAGACAACAGAGAAAACAAGTGTGTCTGGGTGAAGTCCTTGTTGAAATTAACATCATCTATCTCTCCTTTAACCAGTTGCCATTTCCCTTGTTGAATGAGTATAATTTATTTATCTATATATTTATTACACATCTGAATAGAAAACATGGCCACAAAGTAATGAATTTTCTTCCAGTAGAGGATGAAAGAACATTGCAATGCTTGATACTGTTTGAAGAAAGATAAACAGATTACTCTGTACCCAATCAATTTTCCTTCACTTTCCCTCCAAATGTTAAGAGCTTGTCCACGAGAGAACCAGCCCAGGGTGGCAAGGTGGGGGTCAACCAAATTTGTTGTATGGAGGCATATTAGGAAGTTATTCATGAGTTAGGAAGGAATCCCAAAAATATCCTTTCTTCAGAGAATTATAGCCTATTATAAGTCATGGCTTATGTAGCCTCTTTGAGACTCCATTTTTACCTTGGAAAAATGATGATATATTTTGTGTAAATTAAACAAAAATGGAGACAACTAAAAAATATTAGACCTTACAAACATTGAAAACAATCATTTGGCTTGCCACAGATATATGTAGAATTCAGATAAGACCCTGCTTGGGCGAGCCACACCCATTTATAACACCCCTCCCCCCAAAGTCCAATTTTAGTATGGAGCTTGCGGAATGAGCCGAGGATTGCTGATTGGTGGTTTGTAGGCCTGAGAAAAATGCTTGGTTTGTTACCATGGAAACAAAGAGAGTGAAAAAGTGTAAATCATTTTAATCCCCTATCTTTAGGTTATAATATATCACCAAACTAAATCATTTAGTGACACCTGTATAAACTTTAGGGCCAATCAATATAACCCTGTTTTTCAGAAGAATTTTTGGTTGATAAACCCCCCAAATTGTCACGGGCCATATCTCTGTAAGTAGGGATTTTTTTTTTTCAGGAAATATTGCAGCCTCAGATATTGTTCATATAAAGGTTCAAACATACCAAATATGATGTAAATCCGTTCACCCCCACCTTGCCGCATTTTCTACATTTGGTCTGGTTTTTCTCGTGGACACACACTTAAACACCAGAGCTACCTAGATGTTTCATTTTTTATGCTAAATAAATATACTGAGTTTGAAAAAAATATATGGCTACTGTTTTGTTTTGTTTTAGCCAAGAGAAGACCCAAAAAATCATGCTGCTCTTGCTAAAATCCCCCTGGTGGTTCTCGATGCAGCAATTGCATTTTGGATATCCTTCCATTATGCCTGTTGTAGCGGTTTTGATGACTAACTTTGCATGACCCCATATATACATATATTATATTGGTCTTATCAAGCATGGGGTTTAGCAAGATCATATTCTCTTTCCACATACACACACACACATATATTATAACCAATGCATGGTGTTACCTTTCAGCCTAGAGAAGACCCTGATAACCATGCTATGTTGGCACGCATACCTCTGGCAGTGTTGGATGCTGCCATTTGTTGGTGGATATCCTTTCTATTTATTAATTCCCTTGTGCTTAAAGTATTGCATGGGGGTTATGCTAGTTTAGCTGCAGTTGGCGCTCATTGCCATTTTTTCACTTGCTACAAGGAATAATTGGTTTTGGGTCAGCAAGGCATGTAACAGATACACAACCAGGCAGCAAGGAGTTTTTGACACACACAGGTGTGAGGCATGAGTGGATGTCACATACACATTGCTGGGGAATTGTGTAACTTACTTTAATTTGACTTGGGGATGGGTGTGTCATGCATGTATGAGAGGTCCACCATATCTGGTAACATATACCATGGCAAAAGAGCAGATATCATTACCTTATACTGACATTTGTGGCATGAGGGTGTAGTATTTTTTTTTTTTTTTTAGAAATACTTTGATAAACTTTTTTATTGCCAACATGCACTGAATTGCTAGATGTAAAACAATTGGTATGTTCCTTACTTTATCATAATTGTTAGCCAGGCCTTAACAAGCACATACATTTTTTTTACCTAAAGATTAGCATGACTTATACTGTTATAACAACTGTTTTTACTATAACATGCCACAGATGACTGTTTTCAAACCGGAGGAACAGGGTTCGAGACATGCTTCATTTGAGAATATTAAGAATTATTTTAGTATAATATAATTAATCTGATTTTCATTTTATTTGAAGAGGTGTTAAAAAGTTTGTTCAACTATTTTCAAAAGATTGATTTTTTAAGAAGACTGTCAACACAAAGATTATATGAATTGAACAGGTCCATTTGTTTCCTTGACCTTTAACAAGTATTCTCCAGTCTTGTCCAAACCACAAGGACTCTGAGACTGAGGAGAAATGTAGTGAAGCTGAGCTTGTACAGGCATTTTACAAATACCTTGATATTTGCTGTAGTAGGTGAGTCAGGCTTCCCAATGCAAGAGTTTAATTTGAGGCATTTTATTGATAAAAATGAGAGCATTGAAAGTTGCCTGTAGAAGACATATAAATAGTTTGTCATCATCCTGTAAATGTAATGTGATGTGATAACATTTCATGGTTTTTGAGTAAGGGAAGTGGTTGGTTCACACAAGGATGCTTGTATTACCCATGTTGTTTAGTTTTTCTGAAAAGTAACTGGTTATGCTTGATCATTTTCATTAAAAGAATTAAAATCTCTTTTCCAGCCTCTGTAGCATTCATGATTTGGTCCATCAAGCAGCATACATTTGCTGAGTGCTTGCAGGTAAGTTTGTCATACTGAGAAGTGAATTAAATCGTACTCAAAAACCTGTCTGATATAACCTTCCATAAGTGATCACTGGTGTTGGAAAGTTACTTAGTCCAGGTGCAGCACAAATTCCTTTTTATCATGTTTTTGGAATAAAAAAGGATACATAATGCTTTTAAACTGCATACATTCTATGGTAATTTTACTCTGTGTATATAATTTTAATTAAAACTACGATGAATTATGATGAATTATTTTATATATTCAGGACTGGGCAGAGTTGTGGTTGGATGACGCCTACTGGCACCTGTTGTTTTCTGTTATTCTAATGGTGATAATGGTTCTTTGGAGACCCACTATCAACAACCAGAGGTAAGCTGCACAATTGGCAAGATTTTGAATGCAAAGAATTTTTGCTGGTTTTGTTTCTTTTTCTGCTGAAGCTCATATATCTTTCTCTTTTGTTGGCCTTTATGATGGATATGTATTAGATATAATGCAGTATGTAATATTTCTGCATTTTCTTTTTCATGGCTTCTTTTCATGGATTATTGAACTTTCACCAATGCTCTCTCTGTTTCAGATATGCATTCTCCCCACTGCTAGATGCAGCAGACCAGGAAGCAGAGGAACCCATGATGAATGATGCTTTTGGTTAGATTTGATGTTTAATTTTTAAAGGCCACAAAACTTAAGGCAACAATAATGTGTAATTAATAGTAGCTGCTGATTGAGGTTGTGATAAGTATTTGACTTTTTTAAAGGCACACAGGTCAAACATTAATACACAGATTTCAATTCCTATCCCTTAATATAGTCAGTTGCACAGTATTCAAAACCATTCACAGATTTATGATCTATGTAAGTTCAAAGTTTCTGGTTTTTGAGTGCCTCTTATATTGAAGATAGACTGGTGATTTTCACTTGTGGAGCTAAAAAAAGAATTTTAGAAGTCAAAAACAGCTTGATAGATTGTAATTTTCTCAAGTCCTGACCTGTCTCGTTTACCTTGGTGATGGAAAGTATGATATATAAAGGTCTTACATCACATGCCTTTAAATCTGGATCACTTAAAGACACTCTTTGCATTTCAGAGGGAATGAAGATGAGAGGATTAAAAGCTGAAGGTCAAGTGAAGCCCAAGGAACCAGCCTCCAAAGTGGTACGTTCTGGCTACCCCTCTAATGCCCAAAGTGCTTCCTGTAGTGTATAAGAGATAGCTCTCTTGCTGATGTTGCATATGAAGATTATCTTTGAAACTGTGAATTTCAAAATAAAAATTTTTCGAAATAAATATATATATATAGCATTTTCTGTACCAAGTTTTGTACTATTGAAACTGTGTATATGGTATTTGATTTATTTATTGTTTTACAGGAGGACGATCTGAAGTGGATAGAAGAAAACATTCCTGCATCAGTAGCTGATACGTAAGGATTGATTTTCGTGGATATTTCTGTTTTGGTCTTTTCATCAATGTTGAATTTTATTAACAATAACACAGTTCAACTTTGTTAAAGGGATAATAACTGTTCATTTTGGCCAAAAAATGAAATTTCCCGGAGTAAACAACAATTTTCCCATACTTACTAATGGTAAATGAACCCATTTCTACAATCAAAGTTAGTCCCTGTTTTTTTTTTTTCTGAAAAGTTTGGTTTTATGTGACAATCTCTTTAGAGATTATTACAGAGTATAGCCATCTATGGAGGTCACGTGGTCTGATGACAAGCTCAGATATCAGAATAATAGAAATAACTGCTGTTTTTGTGGTAAAACATAATATATAATATTTGTATGAGTTGTTTACAATGTTTTTATTGTGAAATATAGATCTCATATGAAGAGTTATTATCCCTTTAAATGACTCGAAATTAGTTTTCAACTGCATTTGTTAAATGATTTGAAGTTATCCTTTTCTTTATAGCTTTCCACAAAATAATCATGAATTATTATTGAACAACAATAGTGAAATGAAATCATTAATATTTGTTTTCTTAATCCCAATATAAATCTGTTCCCTTCTAGTGCCCTCCCAAGCCTGTTGGATTCAGATGAAGAAATCATGACCACCAAGTTTGAGATGTCCAAGATGGAGTGAAAATATGGATGAATTTACACTTTAGTTTCTGAAGGGATGAAGCACGATTTGATTATTAAGGGTTGGGTTTCCTTTATATGGAATTGTCAGTGATGTCATGCTCTTCAAGATATCTATTTGGGATGTCATTCCTCTCCTTTCTGACTATCTCACCTGTGCTAAAATATCTCTCAAGCAACTTACAGGGAAAATTGATGAGACAGCTAACAGTTTTAACTTGTTAAAAGCAAAAGTTGTTTCTTTAAGTTGTTAACTTTAAAATGCGCATTTCAGTATTTAAAAAGAAAAAAAACGTACTTTTTATGAACCGTGCCCAATTGTTTGCACATCATATAGAGTTAAAAGTGAAGCATAAGTTGTGTAGTGTTTAAACCGTCTTGGCTTACAATAACTTTAAAAGATGACAATACAAGGCCCTTTTCACATTGTGCAGTTTATTTAACTTCATCGCATTGTTTTGAGAGATTGACAACTCAGTAGCCTGGCTATTATGTAAGAGTCATCTAAATGGAGTTACTGCCATGGCCACATAATCGGATTCAATTTGATTGATCCAGGCAGTTGTATACAAACTAGTGATAGGGAGCATAACTCCCCATTACATTAGGGTCAGTCTTGATGTTGCGGTACAGGTAAGTAAACAAGTGAGAAGGGCCCAAAGTATACATCATTTGATTTCTTTGCCCTGTCTATATTTGATTGGAAATCGTTCAATTGCAGATTTGTCAATTTTGTTACATCTCACATTCATGATCTCTCGGCTTTAAATAAGGGCGAGTTGTGTTATTATGAGGGGTTGATTTTTTTGCTGGAACAATGCCTAGATTATTGCATATTCCAGAATTAAATGTGCAGCTGGTTAAGATGTTTTGGGATCTTGTGGTATGTGTAGTTTGTTTCAATTTTTAGATTATTTAATTGGGGGATATAGATTTTGACTGTAGTATTCTGAGGAAGTGCACAATATACAATTGCTTTTTGTCAAATCATGCTGATGTTTAAGGAGCTTATTTTGTTGTATATATGATAATATATATATTCATGTTCCATATGTAATAATTTCAAAGGAAATTTCAGATTTAAAGTTATTATTTGTTTTCAGTTTCCTTTAATTGTAAAATATTTTTACTGTGTAAATAAAGTGGGTCAATCTCTATTGCCATGAATTTTTTAAAGTTTATTCTTCATGAATATTTTTTCTAATAATCTGTGAACCTCCAGTATTGGGATGCAAAATGGTCTCCAATGTTGGATAGAATAACTTGCAAAAGTCCAGATTTTGTCAGATGGACTCCTTTTTCGTATCATTCCACAATGAATGTTATATTTGTATATGGTTATTTGATGAGTTGGCAGTTGATTATTAAGACCCTCTGTGGGAAATCCAAGAGCACCCTGGAGTAGGCTTGCTCAGCCAGTTTCTGTGACCCAAAAACATTTAATTCATGATCCTAGAATAGGGGCCTATTCTTTTTGGAATGTTAATTTAAAATACATAGAAGTTATCCAAAAGATAATATATGTCGCCAATCATAAAAAAAACACTGCTTTTTAAAACTTGGCATAACACTGCTAACAAATGGACTTATAAGTGTAAAAATGACCGTAATTTACAAATGATAATCTGGAGCAATCCTTGTGTCTTTACTTACATGAATAACTCAATAACTACGAAATTTAATATCATTCGATACATATGTTGCCTATATTTTTAATAAGTTTTAGCTGCATTTAATGCATGTTACTTAACAATGGAAGGGATACTGAAAAAAAAAAACATAACTTGTCTTCAATACAAGGGTAACGAGACAAAAATATCACTTGTCTTTAATAAAAAGGAAACGGGGCAGAAAATATATTACTTGTATTCAATCGATTTGTTAAAATTGTTCATATGATACATTTACCGACACATACTTTTCTATATTGCGTGTAGATATTTTTATTCTTATTTTCAGTTTGTTGTCCCTCTTTTAAGCTAACACTTAATTCTTAGTGTATATGACGTTATAATAATATATATATATATATATATCATGTGAACATTTTTCGCAGTTAGTTGAAGACAAGAAATATTTTTTGTCTCGTTTTATTTTATTTTAATGTAACATTAAGACATGAGTGTTGGAAAAATAAAAGACAAAATGAAAGACAAACAATGAAAATGGAATAAATAAATATTTACACGCTTCATGGTAACGTATGTATCATATTTACGTAACAAAAAAAGAATGAGCGACGCACATATACAACGTCGCACACAACCACAGAGTCGCGACAACAGAACAAACAATGGAATCAGAAAACAATACCTTCACGTTATTTGGTAACGTATGTATCGGTAACGTATCTATCATAGAAACAATTTCAACAGACGGTTTCAAGACAAGTAACCTTTACTTGCCCTGCTTTTCCTTTTTATTGTAATGTAGTATACCGTAAGAAAATGGCGTTTGCTCACAAGACGGACAACAACCAATATAAATGTATGAATCAATTTGTTGCATTGTTTGTTTTCATAGTTTGTTGTCCGTTTTGTGAGCAAACGCCTTATTCCTACGGTATACGACATGACTATATTGTTTTGTGGGCCAACATTTTACTTTTCTGTTACAATACAATAAAAGAAAACGGGACAAAAAAAATTTTCTTGCCTTTAATTATTTGTGAAAATCGTTCATATGATACATAATTTATCGATACATACGTTATGTTAAGGTATTGTTTTCTAATTCAATTATTCTCTGTTGTCACGACTGTGTGGGTGCATGAGACGTCGTACATGTGCTGTCGCATGTTTTCATGCCGCTTTTCTTATATGTTACGTTCATATGATTCATACGTTACCGATACATACGTTTTCTATTCTTCTGACACCATATTGAACCTGTTTTGATCAAGGAGACATAAAATTAATTGTATTTATGTAGGAAATGGTTTGTTTTGGTGGTGGTAACAACTTTTTGATAATACATGAACTTTTTGTTTATAGGAATTGGGTCTTGTATCTGCACATTTTGACCTTAAGTAGTTGACCAAAGCAAGGTGATAACAGATGCCTAGGGTTACGGAATGTCTTAGCTGCTGTGTATCTAGGCACACGCATTTATGTTTTATGAAAGATGTTCTGGGAACTATTTGTATCGAGCTGCATCAGTGAGAAGTCATTCAGCTTTTTAGCTGCGGAGATATTTACCCGCAGTTTTAGCAGCTACACTGTAACATTAGTTACGTTACTTTATTTGCACACTGGTTACCAGCCATCAATTTTTGTGGTTTCATGGTTTGGGGACGGCTATTTGTTACTTTGTGACTTTATTTTCTTCGGATAATATTCAGCTTTCCCAGCCACCAGTTTTGTTATTCAAGTTTCGGCGACGGCCGTTTCCTTTTATTGGGCGACTTCCAAGTTCTTGAATCACACACAGGGTAGTATTTCTTTAGTGTCTTCATTTTTTCCCCTTATTCATGTGCTCTTTATCAACAGATTTGTAATTTGTTTTGTGTTGCAACTGCAGATGTCAACTATTTTGTTTAGGTGTCCCTTCATCATGTTATTCTTGATTTTTTTCTTTTGTGTGCATCTATTTTATTTATGTTTCTATTCCCACCGGGCCAGGCGTTTCAGAAAACATTACTTGCTATTTTTCAGCACGTGTAAACTATACCAAAAACAGCAACAAAATTAAGACTAAAAATCCTGAAATCGGGCATAATCCTGAAAACTTTCACCGGCATAATTTTTAACAGTTATAGACAATGATAATTAAAAATGCCATATTTGATTCAAAATGGTTTTATTATTCTATAGATTGTTTTGCTTGTGAAATCTGTCTTTATACAGCAACCATTTCTTCTGTACACAAATAACAGTTAATTTATGATTGGGAGGAGTTGGGTCCTCTCCTTCTGCCAAAAGTGGCTACCACATTCACAAAGCGCCTGTTGTACTGTAGACGACGCTTGGCACGGCCAGTCTTCTTTTTCTTCTTCTCTTGTTTCTCAACCTAAAACGAAAAAGAACTGATAAGAATTGATATGCACCTCATCTTTTTTTTCTTCTGTGACCAATTAGCAATGCCAAAAACATTCACACATTATTTGACAGAAAAAAACAACAACTGTGTTTCAACAATTCGTGAAATTTCTGTTGCCTTAAATTTTACTCCATTCCTTTTTAAGGTGTTCTAAAATAATGCAATATTTTGTTATCAATAAAAATGACCACCCTTGCTTAAAAAAGGCGGCAGCATCGATTTGGGACTCTACAGGTAAAAGTGTGAGAAAGCTGTTAAAGATATATCAGTTAAGTTTATCACTGTGTTTCCAATGAAGCACGTCACTTTTCACATAAGTTTACCTTGGGTGTCTGTCCCTTCACTTTCCCAGCACGAGCCAAAGAGCCATGCACTTTACCTGTAATTAGAATATGAGCCTACCATTATTCTATGTCATATAGATAGTGCATAAAGAGCAAAATAATCCAATCAATGGAAACCATCAGAGATTGCCTAAAATGAAATTGTTGGCACTGCATAATGCCATATAAGACCAGAAAATATGTAAGAATCCAGTAGGGTTATCCTTTTAGCAATTAACTTGAAACTCTTAGTCTACGTGCCTGGAATGTTGTCTTAGGTATAGCAAAACATGGCAAATATGTAATGTTATGAAAAGACTAATTAAAAAAGATCAGAAAATATCCCTGGATAAAATCTGTCCGACTCTATTTTTTACCACTTTGAATTTGAATCTATTGGTCTACCGTTATTTTTTTTATCTCACTCTCCTTTAAACCCTGTGAAACCTCACTTCATGTTACATGGATTTGTGCAATATTTTAGGCATCCTAGATGATCCCTACCAAGATGTAGATATGATTTCGGTATATGAGACAGTTTTGTAATAAAACTACATGCTTTGTCATAAAGAAAACTGTAATACAGGGGCAGAAACACAAGTTATGACTACAAAGGCAATATGATGGCTTACATGAAAAGTCGGTTCATCGCTTAAAAAAAATTACCTCCCAACATTCTGACCTCCACATTAAGAGTGGACAGGTCAGTGAGTCCACAGGCCAGTAGTGTGCTAGCATCCTCCAGGGGGGCTCCAGCCAGGGTCACTACCTGGTCATCTGCAGGCAGACCTTCAATCTCAGTGATCTGGGCCTAGAAAAGGACATGAAGAGAAGTGAATATAAGGGAGAAACTATTATCATTACCATCTACAATGATGTAAATATTCTATGCTCTTATTGTATTAGGGATTATTTGAATGTATTTGATATTTCTTAACCATTTGTCACTGATGGGCATGTTATGGCTAAATGACAAAAACTTAACAATATTGCACAACTGAAATGAAATTCTGATGTCTTATTGATCAATCATAACTTCGTACCATTGGTTCACTCACATGTATTATTATTACTGATATAAAGGTTAAGTGACACAGCAGCAGTAAAAAATGTTTACAATTACCTTTACATCAGCGATGGTTTCATTGCCAGTCACCTCAAGGGTGTGAGTGTGTTGAGCACGAACAAACAACTGCATTTTGTGGGTTCCTGAAATTAAAAAAAATACCAACTATACATCAATATTTCAGTTTTAGAGAAAAATCACTAACAGTATCAGTTTCTTTATGATGCCATTCAACCGAGTTAAGTACGTCACAATCTGACGAGGAATTTCAAATTATTTGAAGCTACTCGACAAAAAAGGAACACATTTGCGCAAAATAAAAGTATCTGTAAGGTTGCACGATTCCCACAATTCTTTAAAAAGAAACCTGGACAGCTTGGACTACGAATGTAACTAAGTTATGGCAGATAAACCTACAAATTATTAAACTTAAGAACACACCTCTGAAAAGATATTTATATCACCAATGAGTTTACTTCTTGAGCTTGCTTAAACAGCTATATCAGGCATCGTTAGATCGTACTAAAGCACAAAATATCGTATTTATACTTAACACACTTACACGTGATGGTGAAATCCAAAATGGCAGGTTTCCAAAAGATAGATAATGCGCAGTTTTTCGCGCAGCACAAGTTTGGGCACATCCTCTTTCGTCATCACTTTTAGTGTAAATCTGATGACGTTTTCACAAGCGCGGGGTCTGAAATGGCTACTTTCATTTGTTGTCTTC